TAAAATTGTTGAACATTCTAAATCTAACCACCCATCCTTTTCATAAGTTTATTACTTTCATCTTAACATCAGATCTAACATTCAAACCATATACGACATCAACTACTCACATGAAGAACCACGCACGAATCATCACTATAAGTGAGAGAGAATGGAATGGAGCGATAAAAATTAAAATCGGACCAAGTACGCACGATAGAGATTCAAGAAGTGAAGATTTTTCCTAAAAGTCACTATAGCCTCTCGAAGATAAGTACAGACGTCTCCGTACCGATCCTTGAGACTCTACTTAGACTCAGCTTGCATACACGTGAGACCTATGAACCTGGGGCTCTGATACCATTTTGTCACGACCCAAAAATGGACGTGATGGAACTCGTCTTAACCCACCAAGACAAGTCAGCCTAAAACTCAACCATTACAATAAAATGCGGAAATTTTTATAATAAACTCAAATATACCCCCAAAATCTGGTTGTCACGTGTACAAGCCTCTAAAGTATTACAATTGAATCAAAAGAAAAATACAAGTCTCATATGACATTGTTTCTAGAGTAGAACAAGATCATAAACAGGAGTAAGAAGGATCGCTGAGAAGACAAACAACTACCTCACAAATCTCCCAGAAGCCTTGGAAAAGAAGAGAATGACAAGTACCACAAAAATCCAGGCTAGTAACCTACAAAAATTTGTAGAAGCAAGGGGTGAGTACCAAACCACACGGTACTCAGCAAGTAAACCTCTAAACACGAGCTAAGAGGATAGAATACAAGTACTCCTTACACCCCAACCGAACCTTCACAACTACAATCTGTATAAAACCAGCCCAACCTAACAGTTCACAATTTACAAGCACATATCTCAACAACGACATTCTAACAATCATATATTCTCAACAACAAGTTCATCAATTACCACCTCCACAACTACAACCTGCTTAGTACCAGCCCAACATAACAGTTCAAAGTTTACAAAACACATAGCTCAACACAACACTCTAACAATTTCATATCCTCAACAACAACTAGTTTCATATCCTCAACATAGAAAGGCACTCACAAGATCAACAACACACAAGATCAAGTTCACCAATAATAAAGAAGTGCAATGCAATGTCAAGTATAGTGATGCATGTCTGACCTAATGATACACACCCGCTGTCTCTCAGTCCGGGACCCATGGGGGACATATCTGTCCATGCATCCATCGCGGCGCGCGATACGACCCTCGATAATAGTAACCATCGCAGCGCGCGATACGTCCCTCGAAATATAGTATCCGTCGCGGCGCGCGACACGTCCCTCGAAATATAGTATCCATCGCGGCGCGCGATACGTCCCTCGAAATGGTACATCCTCTTTATTTTCTTATTCTTTCTCAATGCACATAACACTTGTCACAACCATGTCTCGGAACAATGCAAATAACATGTTCACACAAATAATGAAGAGATGACCATTTTCATAACATTGCACAATTCACAACAACACAATCAGGATACAACATCAACAATGATTCAACAAGCCTTTCAAACAATTCTCAACACATCACACAAACAATTGATCACATTGCCTTTTATTATCCCTTTCTCATCATTAGAATTAATCAATGTGGACAAGTCAACCCATCACCAAGTCTCATAACTCTAAACACATATTACAAGGAAATACATGAATTCCATACACTTAACAAGGGTTTAGAAATCCACTTGCCTCAAATAGTCGAACAATCACTCTGGGAGTTAAGTCTTCCCTTTTCATTGAACTTCCAAATCAAAGCAATCTATTCAAATAAATGACCACAATAAGATTCCAAAACTAACAACACTCATATTACTATGTGTTTAGCTTTGACCCAAAAATTTACCCAAGTTTATAATCAAGTTCTTAAGCTCGATGTCCATTAACATGTCAACTTTCATATTTCTCAAATTCATGCCTAAGGTTAAGTCATAATTTCTCCAACACTATAACCCTAATAGCTTTCATATAATATAATACACATAATATTTACTTACATGTATCAATAGGTTAAGATAGGAGTCATAATGTGACAACCACGAAAAATCCAACTGGAAAATCGATACAAGAACAAAAAACCCAATAACCTCTAGTAATGAAATTATATTTTAATTCATAATCACATTCATCCTCCTAACCTTCTTTATGATTATTATCATTGTCAACTAAATGTTAGACCCATATTTCTCCAATTTCAATAACATTGTACAGTATTCCAATTTCCACTTCTTATTGATCCAAACTCACTTTCTTGTTTTTCTTTTTCTATTACAATCAACTATAATAATAATAATAATAATAAATAATGATAACATGACATCTATGAATATACACCAACACATTGATTAAGGCATAATTAATGTTTACCTGCGGGAGGTTCGTCGCTCATATGCTTGTGCCGACGGCTGAGGTTATGTCGTGCTTCTTTGGAGATTTCTTTTCTTTTTAAAATTAAAAGATTGATCGAAAATAATATAGGGTATTAACTTAAATTATATTATATATGGATTTGGCCCATTTATTTTCTTTTCCTTTATTATTAACAATAAAAATAATCATTTATTAAATTTAAAAATTAAATCACTCATTCTCACAAGTCATAAATCATTTATAAAAACTATTAAACGGGGCTAACTTAGAAAAATGGGTAAAATTCATAAAATGACTAAGAGGGTCGTTACAATAATTGAAGATTTTTATTTTAAGGTTTTTTTAAAAAGAAATTAGGCATTTTTAAATTGGGCATTGTTAGTTAGTGAAGAATTAGCATTTTTGTATTTTAGAACTAGTTTAAACTTGAGAATATGTAATTTGAGGTTAAATTGAGATTTTTTTGGATTTGATTTTAGGACTAGTTAGTAAAGTGTTAATTTGAAGTTAGAAATTAGTAATTGAAGTGTTATGAGTAGAAGATGAATGTTTGAATGTCATGAACTTAATTAGAATTTGAAGTTGAACTTAGAATTTGAACATGAACTTAGAACTTGAACTTGAACTTGAACTTAGAATTTGAAGTTAAACTTAGAACTTGAACTTGAACTTGGAACTTGAACTTGAAATTAAAACTTGAACTTAGAACTTGAACTTAGAATTTGAAGTTAAACTTAGAATTTGAACTTAGAACTTGAACTTGAACTTAGAAGTTGATCTTGAACTTAGAACTTAGAACTTGAACTTGAACTTGAAATTAGAACTTGAACATGAATTTAGAACTTGAACTTGAACTTAGAACTTAGAACTTAGAACTTGAACTTGAACTTAGAACTTGAACTTGAACTTGAACTTGAACTTGAACTTGAACTTGAACTTAGAATTTGAAGTTAAACTTAGAATTTGAACTTAGAACTTAGAACTTGAACTGGAACTTAGAACTTGAACTTGAACTTGAACTTGAACTTGAACTTGAACTTAGAATTTGAAGTTAAACTTAGAACTTGAACTTGAACTTGAACTTAGAACTTGATCTTGAACTTGAACTTAGAACTTAGAACTTGAACTTGAACTTAGAACTTGAACTTGAAATTAGAACTTGAACATGAATTTAGAACTTGAACTTGAACTTGAACTTAGAATTTGAAGTTAAACTTAGAATTTGAACTTAGAACTTAGAACTTGAACTGGAACTTAGAACTTGAACTTGAACTTGAACTTGAACTTAGAATTTGAAGTTAAACTTAGAATTTGAACTTAGAACTTGAACTTAGAACTTGAACTTGAACTTGAACTTGAACTTGAACTTAGAACTTGATGAACTTAGAACTTAGAACTTGAACTTGAACTTAGAACTTGAACTGAATTAGAACTTGAACATGAATTTAGAACTTGAACTTGAACTTAGAACTTAGAACTTGAACTTGAACTTAGAACTTGAACATGAATTTAGAACTTGAACTTGAACTTGAACTTGAACTTAGAACTTAGAACTTAGAACTTGAACTTGAACTTAGAACTTGAACTTGAAATTAGAACTTGAACATGAATTTAGAACTTGAACTTGAACTTGAACTTAGAACTTAGAACTTGAACTTGAAATTAGAACTTGAACATGAATTTAGAACTTGAACTTGAACTTGAACTTGAACTTAGAACTTAGAACTTGAACTTGAACTTGAACTTAGAACTTGAACATGAATTTAGAACTTGAACTTGAACTTGAACTTGAACTTGAACTTTGAACTTTGAACTTTGAACTTTGAACTTGAACTTAGAACTTGAACTTGAACTTGAACTTGAACTTGAACTTAAAGAACTTGAACTTGAACTTAGAATTTGAAGTTAAACTTAGAATTTGAACTTAGAACTTGAACTTAGAACTTAGAACTTGAACTTGAACTTAGAACTTGAACATGAATTTAGAACTTGAACTTGAACTTGAACTTAGAACTTGAACATGAATTTAGAACTTGAACTTGAACTTGAACTTGAACTTAGAACTTAGAACTTAGAACTTGAACTTGAACTTAGAACTTAGAACTTGAACTTGAACTTAGAACTTGAACTTGAAATTAGAACTTGAACATAAATTTAGAACTTGAACTTGAACTTGAACTTAGAACTTAGAACTTAGAACTTGAACTTGAACTTGAACTTAGAACTTGAACATGAATTTAGAACTTGAACTTGAACTTAGAATTTGAACTTGAAATTAGAACTTGAACTTGAAATTAGAACTTGAACTTGAACTTGAAATTAGAATTTGAACTTGAACTTAGAACTTGAACTTGAAATTAGAACTTGAACTTGAACTTGAACTTAGAACATGAACTTAAAATTTGAAGTTGAACTTAGACTTGAACTTGAAATTAGAACTTGAACTTGGAACTAATTATCTTGAATATATAACTAATTAATTTTAAAAATTAGATATGAACTTGAATTGAAAACTTGAACTTATTAAAACTTGAATATATATATATATATATAACTAATATTCTTGGATTTGAAGTTTATATATAACTAATTTTAGAACTTTTCGTGCTAGGCAACTGAGGAAGCTCAACATCTAAAAAAGTTGATATAAGACTATATTGCTTCTTTCATCGAAGTAGGAGATAAGGTTGGTGCTTCTAAATTTCTAAAGTTCAAGTACAATTGTTTTCAATAATGTGTTTGTGTCCATGTAGTATTGATACTTAGCTTTAAATTTAGAAATAATATATTTGGTAAGCATAAGTACCAACACTAGTTGATCCTATTGATGACAAAATTGATTTTCTTGCAAGATCGATTTGTGTCCATCTAGTGTTGACACTTAGTTTTAAATTTAGAAATAATAAATTTGTTAAGCATAAATATCAACACTAGTTGATCCTATTGATGACAAAATTGATTTTCTTGCAAGATCGATTTGTGTCCATCTAGTGTTGCTATTAAGCTTTAATTTAGGAATAATGTGTTTGTTAAGCATAAGTATCAACACTAGTTGATCCTATAGATGACAAAATTGATTTTCTTGGAAGATCGATTTGTGTCCATCTAGTGTTGACACTTAGCTTTAAAAAGTTGTTAAGTTGTTAAAGTTATAAAGTTCTTAAGTTGTTTAGATAAATTAAAATAAATAATGTGATTTAGTTGGTGGATTTAGTTGTTGTATTAAATCAAAACTAAACTAGTTAAAGTTGTTATGTTGTTTGTATAAGTTAAAATAAATAATGTCGGTTTAGTTAGTGAATTTAGTTGTTGGAATTAAGTCAAAACTAATGTAGTTAAAGTTCAAAAGTTGTTATGTTGTTTAAATAAGTTAAAATAAATAATGTCGGTTTAGTTAGTGAATTTAGTTGTTGGAATTAAGTCAAAACTAATGTAGTTAAAGTTAAAAAGTTAAGTTTGTTTAAATAAGTTAAAATAAATATTGTGGTTTAGTTGGTGGATTTAGTTGTTCGAATTAAGTCAAAACTAAACTAGTTAAAGTTGTTAAGTTGTTTAAATAAGTTAAAATAAATATGTCAAAACTAGTTAGACTTAGAAAGTGGTTAAGTTGTTTAAATAAATTCAAATGTTATTTAGTTGATGGAATTAAAATTATCATTATTGTTTGTGTAGATGAATCCTGATCGTAGTTGGATGTATAATAGAAACAATCCTGGTCGAGCGGGTATGATTCCAAAGATAATGCATGTGAATGGATAGATGATGAAGAAACTTCCGAAGAGGATGAATAACAATTTGTATGTTTAGTTGGTGGATTTTTAGCTATTTATATTTGAGTATACTTTATGTTTTAGTAGTTTTAACGTTTGTTTGACATTGTGAAAGACTATTTGGATTAAGCCTTATGTTATGATAACTTTGTTTGATATATTTGTTCGACATTGTGACATTATTTTGTACTACTTTGTTTTAATCTTTATATTTATTTGATATAGATGGTAGATAAAGACAAGGGTAAATCAAAAAAATCCGATAATCCAAAAAAGAAATTTAAGGCCAATGCTATGAGAAGGCCTACTGGGGTCGTGATATCTGATGAGCCCTCTCAAGTTAATATTTCAAAAAGAGCCTCAGTTTCAACTAGTCACTCGACACACCAGTCACATAATGCCTCTATTCATGTGGCTCCACAATCTGGTTATACTATATCTACACCCACTGTGGTACCTAGTTCGGGTTACCAAACATTGCAGGGCTATTCACATCTTGGTCGTGGGTCTAACATACCATCAGCTAGTGCTAGTCAGTGCAATAGTTTGAATACTAGTAGTGGATCAATTGGACTTTCCAATCTTCATATTGAATCCAATGGCTCAGAGCCTAATACTCCTACCACCCAGCACTCAGATGCACATGGTCCTCAGCCAGGCGATAGAGACAATTTTCGGAGACTCGTCATCGAGCCATTAGGATACAAGTATGATTTAATTATGTTTCATCTTTCATTTATCTATTTATATTTTAATTGATTGATTATTTTTATTTACTCTACTTCGTCAATGAATTCGTATTTCAGCTTACGTCCGGATGTGGGTATGGCAAAGATTATTTTAAAGTGCATCGGAACTCACTATAATGGTGTGTATCCGAATTGGAGTTCGATTCCACTTAACAACCAAGGGCAGATGTTCAATGAATTTAAGGTAAGAATATATATAAATTAAATTCATATCATATACATTTAAATTCTCTAGTCATTTGAACAATAAATATTTAGTAATTTTTTATTACAGAAATATTATGTATGGGCTCCCGAACACGAGGATGACGTTCAAGTGAACTTCAAGCTTAAAGCTTCAAAGTTGCTTTCTAGCACATTTTGTGATTGTCGAAAAAAAAATACAATGCCTAAGTTTATGTTTCCGGAGCGATGGGCTTTGTTACTGAAACATTGGAGTACTGATGAAAAATTTAAAAAGAGGAGTGAGATTGGGAAGATGGCTCGCGCATCAGAAAAGGGAGGCTCTTTGCACACTGGTGGAGCTATTAGCCAGGTTACTAGGAAGGAAAGAATGGTATACTTTCTTAATTTAGTAAAATAATTTTTTTCTTTTTTGATAAGTACTTTTTGGAGATTAATGAGATCAAATTCTATATATGTTATTTGCAGGAAAAAGAGTTGGGTAGGCCGGTAGCTGTACCAGAGATGTTCAAGGTTACTCACGTCAAGAAGAGTACGAACCCCACAGAAGAAGAAAGATGGATTGAGCCACGTGCTCAAGAGACATATGTAAGAACTCCATTCAAACTAATTTTTTTTTCTTTTCCTTGTATATATTACATTCTTATTCGTAGAGTTCTTTGTTTAAATTACAGGATAGGTATATGCGAATATCTCAGGAATATCGTAGTACTCTACCTTTTGAGAGTCAGGACAGACCATTTACACAAGAAGAAAATGAGAATCTTTGGAAACAGAGTGCTGGTGAACCGATTAGAGGTTCAGTCTATGGCTATCCAGAAAAGGCGTATCAGAAGAAGAAGTCTTGGTATTGTGGTTCATCATCCTCAAGCTTTGATGGTGGGGATAGAGAGACAATATCTGCAATGGAGAGTAAGATAACTTATCTCAATGCCGAGCTTGCTGCTGTAGCCGAAAGAGAGAAGAAGAGAGAAGAAAAAGAGAAGAAGAGAGAGGAGCAGATTGCGGCAGCAAAAGAGGTAGAGAACAAGAGGTATGCAGCGCTTCAGGCCCAACTAACTTTTCTTTTTGAATCAGGAAATATTCTTCCTCCATGTCCGGCTAGCAGTGATGGATCTGATCAGGAGGGTGATGAGAATGATAAGGAGAGTGAGGGTGATGAAGAGTAGTTGTATCTATTTGACATTTTAGACTTCTATATTTTTAGAATTGTTTAATTTGATCGTATTTTAGTTTATTTTGAAGTTGGATGAAGTTTATTTTGAAATAGTTTGTATATGTTGAAAATATTATGTTGTTTTGGTTTGATGAAGTTTATTTGGCTTTGGGTTGTTTTGGTTGGATGAATTTTATTTGGCTTTGGTTTGTTTTGGTTGGATGAAGTTTATGTGGCTTTGGGTTGTTTTGGTATAAATATGCAGGTGGGCAACTAAAAATTGTAGCAATTTGCTGCCTGTTTTGCAGCAAACAACCGACCTCCGGAGGTCGGAATTTCAACATTACAAAAATAAAAATACCGACCTCCGGAGGTCGGAATTTCAACATAACAAAAATAAAAATACCGACCTCCGGAGGTCGGAATTTCAACATAACAAAAATAAAAATACCGACCTCCGGAGGTCGGAATTTCAACATTACAAAAATAAAAATACCGACCTCCGGAGGTCGGAATTTCAACATTACAAAAATAAAAATACCGACCTCCGGAGGTCGGAATTTCAACATTACAAAAATAAAAATACCGACCTCCGGAGGTCGGAATTTCAAAAATACAAAAATAAAAATACCGACCTCCGGAAGTCGGAATTTCAAAAATACAAAAAAAAAAAAATACCGACCTCCGGAGGTCGGAATTTCAAAAATACAAAAATAAAAATACCGATCTCCGGAGGTCGGAATTTCAACATTACAAAAATAAAAATACCGACCTCCAGAGGTCGGAATTTAAAAAAATGAATATTCCGACATAAAATAAAAACCGACCTCGAGAGGTCAGTAAATACCGACCTCCAGAGGTCGGTATTGAATAGCGACCAAGCTTTTTCCGACCTAAGCTGGGATGTCGGTTTTAGGTCGATATTTCAAGGAAAACCGACCTCCGGAGGTCGGTATTTTTAGGTCGCTATTCACAGTTTTTTTAGTAGTGTGTGTAAGTTATATGTTGCAACATATGGTTATTCTGTTGCGAAATGTAAATCATATGTTGCTATATATAACTATTATGTTGTGAAACATAAATCACATGTTGTGACAAAATGTATAAGTCATATGTTACAACATATGACTATTTTGTTGCATCATGTAAGTCATATATTGCTAAATTTCTAAGTTATATGTTGCGGCTTGTGTAAGTTATATGTTGCAACATATGTCTATTCTGTTGTGATTGAAATAACCTTTATGTTGCTACATATGACTATAATTTGTTCCAATGGTTCACTGTTGCAACATATATAGCCATCTGTAATGAAACGCAAATGTAAATTATTGAAAAAATTACAGGTAACCAGATGATGATGAATGATTTCAAAAAACTATTAATTTTACTTACTAAAACAATGGTGTGTGACCCCAATCACTTATGAAGTAATTCCAATTGATACAGAACGAAATTTGGTCCACTGATTAGATTAGCTAAATCTGATTCAAGAAGAAGAAAAGAAGAAGAAGAAAGCTCAAGGACTAGCAGCCAAGACCAACAATGTACGAAAAGAAGAAAAAGAAGATGAAGAGAACGGGAAGAAAGACAACCAGGCAAGCAAGAACGAAGCAGAAGAAGAGGAATACGGCGGGAGGCGGGGGGAAAAAATCTTTTATTTCCCCTTTTGGTACAGCTCGCTGGTGGCTTCCCTCCACTTTTGGTTCCCACCAAAATTGGTTAAATTAGGTTTTAGTCATTTATCCTTTTACCCTCATTTAATTCAATGGACCAAACTGCCAACTTATAAACTTGAGGGCAACTCCACAATCTTTAATCATTAATCACATAATTATCACCTACACTCAATAATTAAGACTTATGTCACCATTCCTTTATTTTAACACCTTAATGCCACCTTTAATTCAAAGTCCCAGGATTGATGCAGGAAACAAAAAGGATTAGCTCGGAGAATGACAAAAATACCCTTCAATTTCGTTGTTTTTACAGGGAAGCACACGTATTGACGGAGACGCGTGTGCTATTCCCTCTTCTTATATAGTAATATATATCTCAACTGCCTAACTGTTTAACATTATCAAAACCTATTACTTTCAATATATATAAACAGGTTATAAGAGAATATTAAAAAAATCATTCATCAATCTTCATCACTTATTTTTACGTTTTGACATCTTTGAAATTTCACTTAAGAAAAAAATAATACAATTTCTACAGTTTTTTTACGCAACAAAAAACAGTAGGAACATGATAATGCAAATCAGTGGATGAGAGGATAGAAACTTTGTACAATAAATTGTTTGTTCATTATCGTAATTTGTACTACTTTTTTTATCATTATTGTCAAGCTTATATTTTATTATTCTCATTTTTTGACGATATCATTTTTGCAGAAATGACTATTTCGGTCTATAATATGATTGGAGGTTTTGCGAATAAAGATTTATGATTATTTTTTCCAATGACAACTTTGGCGTGTCAAAATTCTAGATGAATATACTATTGGTGGTAGATCGATTGTATTACTTGCTAAAAATATATGTAGATATTGTTATAATTATGTTTTTCTTTTAAAATAACAAGACTTTTAAAAAAAAAATAAGGACAATTTTCTTCGAGATATTCATTAGATTGCTTGCATTTATTTTTTTTATTTTTTTTTTGGATCAATAATGGGTCAGGCCCTTTATTATTAAAAAGAAAACCAAATCTCTCAGACAAAAGCTAAATAAAAAAGCAAAAATAAACAAACAACAAAAAGGAAACTAAAACAGCAGGTAGGAAAGAAGCAGAAATGGAAAGAAACCCACGCCTTCTTCTTTGGAATCTGCAAAAAGACGCAGCTCCAGCAAGAACAGCATTTA